GTCTTGTTTTTCTTATTTAGTAACTATAGTCCCCACTTTATAACAAAATTTTTTCTACTTTTCCAAACTACGCATAATTATTACTCTAATCTATTTTTTAAAATCATTCAAAAAGTAAGGGCATTATAGTCATTTACATTCTACTTTATAGTTACTTTCAATTAAATATTATTATTCTTTAATTCCCGTGCTAACTCCCAACAAGATATTTCTTCTGGGACGGAGGGAGTATTTTATTTTAAAGATTTATGTACAATATTTTTTAAAAATAAGTGAATTTCATATAGTTTCTATATCATGGAGAAGAGTGATAGTAGACTTTTCAAACCACAAGTAAATTATGGATAATTTTGTCTCTTTTTTTTTTTTTAAAAAAAAAAAAAAAAAAAAAACAGGCACACACTTTTAATTTATTGAGATTGATCGGGTTATGATTTATTTACTTATTATTGTTTCCTTCTATAAGATTGGAATTTGAAACCTATACTCTATAAAAACAAGCTAGGTAGGAAAGACATTATTGTAGAGTGAACTGACGATAATAAAATTATGAGTTCAAACTTCCGATGCCATACATAGTTAACTTAATATAATTCTTCTTTCGTTCGACCATAATTTAAGTAACTTAACAATAAATTATCGAAAAATAACTTATTATTTTATGTTATGGATAAAAATTAATGTTTGAAATATATATATATATATATATATAATGTTAAACACTATACAAAAAATAAATGTTGAAACACAAATAAACAATGGTTCATAATATTCTTTATATAGAAAGTAGTTGTTTGGATGTAATATTTTATAATATATGTACTTATTAAAAAATCGTGAAAATTAAACATATTTGAATATTAATTGAGAGGAAAAATAATTACATAAGAAGCCTTTTCAATAAAAAAGAAAAAAAAGATCGAATTTATTACTACGTTGTTGCTTAATAACACAATTTATTTTATTATTTAATATAATATTTCTATTCTATAAATATGCTATAAATTGATGATATTGAATTTTAAAATAATATGGATATACATTTAGCAACAAATTATATTAATGTGACTTACAATTGGGTCCCAAAGACACCCTCGCCACTCTTATCCATTTGGGTGTGTTTGTTTGGGAATTTGGATTTTGAATTGGGATTTGAATAGTAAAAATTTTGAATTTGAATAGTTGTATGATGTGATATAAATAAGTGTTGATGTGATGTTTTGAATGTAAAATTGAATTTTAGTATAATATAAAAAATAAAAAATAGGTGTTTGATTTGATGTTTTTTTGGGAAAAAAATTAGATGAATAGTATAAATCCAATCCAATCCCCCAAACAAACACACCTTAGAGGTCATTACTTCCACCCCATTATGTATTTTATCTCTCATCCACGTCATATCCACCACAATATTCAAATTATTTCATTTATCTCCGTTATAGTAAATCACCTTCAACTCATTACCTTTACTAGTTTATAAATATATAATAATTTATTTATTTCTATATACTTTTATTATGTAATAATACATAGAATCAATATATAAATAAATTATTTAACTATACATAGTTCTATATATTTTTATTATTTAATAATATTTTTATATAATAATATTTTATTGATCTATATAAATTTTAATAATTGAATATATACGGAATCAATCAACATATATATATTAACTAAAAGTAACATCAAAATAATCATAATAATTAACAATATAACTTAAAAATGATTATTTTTATTTCCAAATTGTATCCAAATAATATATCCAGTAAGGTAGAGAACAACAAATAAATTTAAAATATGATAGATAAAGTGTGAGAATTGATTAATGAATTTTAAATATATATATAATTTATGTTAAATTTATAATTTAAAATTTAAAAATTTTTAAAAATTTTGGATAGTATTTAATTTAATTGATTTTTTTTTAAAAAAAAAATTTGTTAAAGCTAACCAGTTCTTGAAAAATATAATAAATTTGAATAATTGTATTTCTTTTTAAAGATAATGAGTTTTGTTATAATAAAAACTGAAAAAATAATGATAAAGATAATAAAGAAGCTGATTGTAACAAATGATCTAATTAATAATAATAATATTAATAATAATAATAATGAATAAGCAAATATTGAGCTGCAATTCACACAAAGCTCAAATTACCAATAGTAACTAAAAACTTCTTTCTTTATATATATTAAAATATTTTTGATACTTTATATACAATTATACTAGCATTTAAACCCGTGCATAAAACTTCTTTCTTGTATATATTAAAATATTTTTGATACTTTATATACAATTATACTAGCATTTAAATCCGTGTATAGCAAAGGTGTATATATAATTAAAAATATGTTTAAAATAATATGTGTAATTATATATTTAATAAATTTTGCATATATGATTTATTTATAATTTATAAAATAAATATATATATATAATAAAATTAGTTTTATACTATATAAATAAAAGTAAATAAAATATTGTAGATGAAATCATATATTATATAAATCATAACATTTAAGTAAAAATTATTTTATAAACTACAAAAAAATATATAATTTCTCCGAAAAATTTAAATTAAGGTAGAAAAATAAATATTAAAATAAAGTGCGGTAAATTTCATGCTTACAAAAAATCTCAAAACATCCTTAGAAAAAAAGTAATTTTATTCAATAAAATTAAGAAAATGGTGAGTCCAACCTTGTGAAAGGTTGAACGGACTATACCAGACCAAGAGTCCTTGCCAAGCTTATACCAGAAACTGGCCAAGTCATCAAATCCTTACCAAATTAACTTCATCAATACAAAAATGTTAATTAGCAAACGACAAAAAATAATACTCCTTCCGTTCAAGCTAAAAGTATACAATTACTTTTGGCGCGGAGATTAAGGAATAATAGTAGTAATAAAATGATATTTTTGCCCTTACTTTTTTGGTATAAAAGTAATGATGTGATGTAAAGTAGGGGTATTTGTGGAAAAAATGGAGTATTTAATGAAATGGTTACTTTGTAATTGGACGTCCCAAAATAGAAATATGTATACTTTTTGACTGGACGGAAGGAGTAATAAAATAAAGATAAATTGAAATTATAATAAAAGATAGAAGACAATTTAGAAATAAATGTAATTAAAATAAACTGTTGTGATTTTATTTTGTAAAAATAAGAAAAAAGTGGGTCTAACCTTGTGAAAGGTTGAACGGACTATACCAGAGACAGGTCAACACCAAATCCTTGTCAAGCTTTTGCCTCTTAAAAAAAATCTCAAATGGTAGAAGGAAGAGTCCTTGCCAAGCTTTTGCCTCTTAAAAAAATCTTAAATAATAGAAGGAAGAGTCACCAAATCCTTGCCAAACTTTTGTCTCTTCAAAAAACTCTCAACAAATGGTAGAAGGGAGACTAGCAAATCCTTCCCGAAATTTGAGGGATGGGGTCCATACCCTTTGCTATAATCGATATATATATATATATAAGAGATCGGTGCAGGTCTATCTCACTAAATCTTTTTTTCTCAAATTTTTGATTTTTTTTATTATTTTTGATTTTTTAATAAAATAAATATGTATTAAATGTCATTAAGTATACCATAATTAATAAAATTATAATTAATATATTTTTAAATATAATAAAATAATTGATTTAATTTTATGATTAAAGTAAATTATAATTTTCTCTATTTATACCCCTATATATGAGAATATTGTGAGTTTTATGAATAATATATTTTTAAAAAATTTATTTACATTTTTTATTTTTATATAACTGATTAGTATTTTTTTTAATTATTTTCTTATTTATTTTAATTTTGTAGCCATGATTTTTTAAATATATATATAAAGTTATATAAGGATTATATATTTATATTTTTTTTTCTTAAAAAAAATAATTAATATACATATTTAACTAATCATATATTTTTATATTGTCATATATCTATTTTATTATTTTTAAATATATTGTCATCTATTTAATATTGTTGTTTTTATTATATAATACTAGAAAATTTATGTATTAATAGTTGAGAAGTACATTCAAATTTTCACTTAACATGTTTGTAAATTTATATTATCAATACTTATTTCATAGGTATGATTAAGAAAATTATCATATAATAAAATTTATTAATTTACACAAACCGTGTAACGCACGGGTGAACACACTAGTTATATATATGATTATATATAATACTATATTGAAAATTATGACATTATACAACTTCAAAATTTTTACTATTCAAATCTCTAAGTCAAAATCCAAACCCACCAACAAACACACCCTTAACAAAATGTTTATGTTGTTATACGTTAGTTACTTTGAATTATAAAAAAAGATTAATTGATAATCAAAATCACAATGAACGTTAAAGAGAAAAACAAAATGATGCTCACAAATCAATTTTATATTTACAAAAATAGAGTTTAATAAGATAACAATAGTAAATTATAATTTTTTTTTTATTTTTTATACAATTGATATTGTTTCTATTTAAAAAATAATATTAACAAAAAATAAATTTAAAATATTTTTTAAAACTATTTTAAATATTATATTTCAATAAAATATATCATAATTTAATAAAATGTCATTTTATTAAATATATTTAAAATTAATAAATTTATTAAAAATAAAAATATATTAACTATCATATGACAAATTGAAATGAACATCTGGTAAAGCGTGTTACAGACAAGTGAAAATATTAATTTAAACATAATCCCATTCTTACTAAAAATAATATACTCAATCCATTCGCAACCTCCTAGAGGTGACAGATTAGATACCTACTATCCCTCCAAAGATCCCGGGACTCCAGATCCCAAACAGATCCACACCACCAGCACAGTGAATATTTAATTCCAGGACTTAAGGTCCAGACCCGGGCAATAAAACACACATTTATTCGCGTGAATGTGGGCCGGAATCCAAGCTGTATTTCTTCCCCAAGTCTGGGAGGTCCAGGACCTCAAGTCCCAATCACCACCCCCTCATTCCATGCCTCCGTATCCCTTCTTCCCAACTCTCTCCCCTCTCTCTAAATTAAAACCCTAAATTCCCAAATTCAGAAAAAGAAAAAAGAAAAAAAAACAAATCAGAAAAAATCATGACAGCAGTCTCCCAGATCATCTCTCTCCATCATCACCACCTTCTCCCCGATCGCAATTTCAAACCCCAACCCCTCTTTTTCGAACCCTAATCACTTTACAACCACTGTACATACAGATAGATATAGATATAGATATATATGTATATAGTATAATACAGTCGCATATATAGGTTATTGCCAAATCTCTCTCTCTCTCTCTCTCTCTCTCTCGGTGACTGTGAATCAGAGAAGTTTGAAATTCCGTTGATGTTTTAGCCTTTTCAGCTTTTCCCCATTACCCTTCCTCTCTCTTCTCTCTCTCTCTCTCTATCATACTCATACCCACTTTGTACAGCCGATCCCACTCCTACTTTTTTTCTCTTCCAACTATCCCCACTTGTATTGCTTCTGTCTCTCCTCCAAATTAGGGTTTCCTATTCCTGCTTCGATTCCTTCTCTTCTCTCTCTATCTCTTCTCCATCTCACTTGTATGTGTTCTTTTTAGAAAAATTATTTGTTATTGCTGTCTTAAGTTTCTCTGTATGTGTTATAGTGAAGCATTCTAATGGCGTTTTGCAGTAGTTAGGGTTGTTATTTATATACACATATATATTGGGAATATTGTTGGTTTGGTGGAATTTGGAAGGAAGGAAGGCTTGAGTTTTCGATCATCATCATCATCTATATATATATATATATGGCTTATCAGGCTATGCCCGGGCCGGGTTCGGGCTCGGGTTCGGGTGGATTTCACCACATGAATTCACCATTTGGGGACACTACTTTGACTAAGGTTTTTGTTGGAGGATTGGCTTGGGAGACTCAGAGTGAAACGATGAGACGATATTTCGAGCAATTCGGGGAGATTCTTGAAGCAGTGGTGATCACTGATAAGAACACTGGCAGATCCAAAGGATATGGTTTTGTGAGCTCTTCATAAACTTCATAGGAACATTATATACATATATATATATATATTGATGCCTATAGTTTTTGTAATGTGGATGATTGACTGACTTGTTTGGTTTCGGACGGTGTTTGTGTCGAGAGTTTAGGTGACTTTTCGGGATCCTGAATCAGCGAGGAGAGCCTGCGCGGATCCTGCTCCGGTAATTGATGGGAGACGAGCAAATTGTAACTTGGCATCGCTCGGGAGACCTCGCCCGGCAGTCCCCTTTGGTAATGTACCTCAACTGGCTGCACTATATAAATCTTTGTACAGCTTATCTAAGTGATGGTTGTTTTACTTGCATTGTGTAAAAATTTGGTTGCTCTGGTTTATTGTAAGTAGCTTTTCTTCAGTTATGTCTTCAGAGCTGTCTAGAAATAGAGGGCATTGGTTCATAGTTAAAGGGGAAAATCTGGGACAAAAGTTTAGATAGCAGTTTTGTTTGTATCGGCATTATCATATCTATCTAGATGGTTTTTTGGTAAGCACAAATCTGATACATTGTACAATATTCATGTGTGTATATGCTCATAGGGCGCTTCAGATCTCCAACGTCTTACATTGGAGGCTTACCGACTACCGCCACTGCTAGAGGTGCTTATGTTGGGAGCTTTGGCTACCAGCAACCCGTTACTTATGGATTCCAACAAGGCCTATTGTATTCGCCTTACGGGTGGGAAACATTTGCATAATATGCTCTGTTGAAATCATCTCTATTGTATGGGTATTTTGTTATGGCGACATATCCTTGATAACTCTAGGAATAGAAGCAAGATCCTACTTAACTATTTGGGATATTTACGCGTATATTGGTTGACATTTTAGTACTTTTACGGATGCAGGTATGCTGCGTACAGTCCAGAATATGTTTATTCTCAGGTCAACACATTGAGAAACTCTCTATGATTTGTGCTACAATGTTAAAAGGTCGTGTCGGTTCTTAACAATGTTTTGTCTTGTAGGGTGTCTACGGTCCGTACGGAAACCAGCAATACCTTCAAGTGTACGGTGTCCCTGGAGGAGTAAACTCCTCGATGTATCCTTATAGTCATGTGAACCAGGGCATTCCTGGAAGTCATGGCTATACGGCATTGCCGGGATATGCAGTGCCCGGCCATCACATGGTTCAGTTTGGTGCACCTTCTAGTGTTAACGCAATAACTACAACTTCTGTTCCAACCATTCCGGCGCCATATCCCACCGGTAATAATCTATGATCACTCTCATCCCATCATCCCATCTATATAATATATAACCTAGCTCAGAATCATATAATGCATCTTTGAATCCCTACAGGACCTATTCCGCAACAGCCACAGTTCATGCTACCTACGCATACCCCACAGTTTATGCCTGGTAGCGGTTCTGATCAAAACACTGGGTGAGAGTTTGGTCTCGGTAAGTTGTGTTTTTCCTAATTCCGGACCATATTGGCGTAGAGTTATCTTATCTTATACACTAGTTCTGGTTATTTTATATGAATTGTACAGTTCTCTTTTAGATTGCAGCAGGACTAAGAGCAGCAGTACTGCCACTCGACTGGCGGGCTTCAAATCTAGCCTTGCAAATCATTTGTCGTGCATTCTAGAGGTAAGCTGCACATTTTGGAGAATTCTATGATTGTGCAGTGCCTAGTTGTGGATTTTGTGCTCAAATATATGTGTGTCTATTTTTCCTAATGTTCTCTAAGCTGCAGGTCACACTTGCCGTGCTCACCAGAGAAGTCAATGTCCCGAGTCCCCTCCTTAAGGTGGAGTGCGAAAAATGGAATGTGCCGAAAGCACATCCTCTCCTAGCTTCATGTAAATCTATCTTTCTAATGTCTATTCCTTACCAGCCTCATGGATGACTGGTGGGGAGAGTCTCATGGGCCGATGACGGTGGTGGCCAGAATGGGATTCTGGCTCCCGACCGACCGGAGAATAAAGAAGTATGAAAAGAACTATCTTACCTAATATAGGAATCAACATATGATTCTTTTTATATAGTTGAGTCAAAACACAGCATTTGGGCATATGTAGATATATGTCTCCCTGGTGACTGTGTTTGCATGCATCCCTGCATTGTATTTGTAAAGTGGGCAAGCATCTTATGTGTAAGTAACGACAGGTCAGACTTTTTAGGGTTCATCCAACATTTATTGTAAGTCTAAGTCGGATTAATTTGCAGCCTCAACTTCAAAATGTGAAGAAGGAAGCTCAGGATCTAAGTGGGAAAGATGGGTTCTTTCTGTCTTTAATTAGTTCTTCTCCATTTCTGTGAACTATATATTACTCCTATTTCCAAATCTACATTTTCTATGAATATAGGTTCTAGCAAGGCAGCTACATTGTTGAATAACACGCAGTGTGCTAGAAAACAACACACAATAATATTAGTGGCAATATATAATTTATATTAATATAATACAAACACAACACATAATATAGTCTCCACCGCATATGTAACATTTGATTTTAGTATATGATATGTTTCTATCCAACACACGTAATTATAAATAAACAGTTAGGAAAATCATTTTTAAAATACTGTGGCATTATTTTAATGATGCCTTTGTTAACTATGGATGCAAAATCGAGCATTTTTATCATCGGTATCATGCCATGTAGTTTTAGCATATGTATGTTAGTGTAAAGAAGAAACTTATAAATAAACACACATTTGAACAACTAATTCCTAAACTGGCTAATTTCCCAAACATATGAACAATTTAGGTTCCAAGTCATTAGTACACTAACACAACAATGATTCTCAACCAATTCCGAGCAAAGTGACTTTTAATTCTTCAAATCAAAACTGAAGTCTTTAAATACTGAGGGAGAAAAACACAGAGAGACAGGGATACCTTAGGACATATGCGGGGCTCAAAAGTTTCCTGATATGTTTTGCCGACGATCATGAAATTGGCCTAAGACAAATCAAACGGTAGTTGTTTAACAAGATGGGCTTGCCTTGCCTGCATTTTTTGAGTTATAATTGGTTTTGCATGATGACAACTAACCTGAGAAGATTTCATGGTGCAGACTATATGCTCCAAAACTTTCAAATTAATGGCAAATGCTCAAAGTAAAAGCCTTCAACAAAATGCATCATTGAAATAATCTGAAGGATGAAACTGCCTGCACCACAGATCATATCATAATGCAGAATGAATTCATGGACAACTTATTGTTGATTAAATAATTATGCAAAAGGGACTAATCCATGTGATATGTCAGAGAATAACAGGTAATTAAACTTCTTTGGAATTACATATCATCATAATCCTTCACTGATGGGGAACTGTAACTCATTGATATTAGACTTACTTTTTGAACCTTGGGACCAAATTTTGCTTCCTCTTCATCAACAAACTGCATCATATCAAAGATTGGACAAAGGGACTGCTTAGTTCATGATAAAACCGGGGGTATAGTGAAACATTTGTTTTGCATTATATAAATAACATTCTGGATGCAATTTCTACATAAAGTATATAAAGGTTATAGCAAGGCTAACCTGTCCGGTGAGAGTATACAATCTGTTGTAAAAACCATTATTTGCTACTCCAAGCACTGAAAGTAAATGTCTTCGGCTCTCATCGAGATTTTTCAATGTGTACTCTATGTAATACAAACCTACCAATAGATATATGTTAATTTTGCAACACAGTTCTACCTTTTCATTGTTATTGTAAGTTTGTAAACTTTGCATCTGAAGTAATATCATAAGATTATATTGCAGTCATATAATTGGTTAAATCCCTACAAATGTAACATACAGAAAACATAGAATAAAAAAATTCAAAGTGCAGAAGATGAGTTCTTGAAAAACACAGAATTGCTGATGATTCTAAGGTCTTGATCATATATAAAGAAAGGAAACAATACCGCTTCACATACCATTGGCAGATCTGCTATCTACGAGTTTTGCAGCAACACCAGGAGGCCTCTGCCAACTTCTGTCCAATCCCCCGACCTGCAAAGTTGATTTAGTATTTCAATAACAGATTCTCTACACAGAGTTGAAAGAACCATTCGCCATAATTGCATCTTTTAAAACCTACTAGAGTCTCTGCAAATGCATCAACTTTTCCAAATGACTCCAATCTGGTGAAATCAGCCCCAAGGACAGTGATTACTAAGGTCACTGCACAAGCAGTATGAACAAAATAGTAATGGTGAGGGTGGGATTATTTTTTTCGAGCAAAGGTTCAACTAGAAATCGCATTATAATACACACCATTCGAATTAGAAGCTTCGGGGGGATAAAATGCAATCAATGCCCTTACTCCATCTCCTTCTCCAGTTCCCACTTGCCAATCTGCATAGAAATGAATTCCTAAATATGAGAATCTGAGCACAATTTTATTAACCTGAAGAAATTGGTTACTTGTTTAATTAATCTCGACATCTGCAAATAGCTATTAAGGCCATTCCTCCTTCCAAAGTTCAGACACATCAACTGATCATAGCCAATATGGATTCTATAATATATTTCCTGAAAACTCTAATACAAACCAACTCACCTTGCGGAATAGTGATCTTAAACTTATTCACTTCATCAGTGTAAACACGAAAGCCTTCCTCCAAATCTACACAACAGATTTTAGGTTTAGGATCGCATTACCGTATCAAAACCATATGAAAGAGCAATATTTAGATAAAGTTAAACATAATAAGATCAACCATTTGCTCTACACAGGTAAACTAATGAAACTAATCACCATTTTCATCAGAAAGCGCGACTGAGCTAGCTGAAGGAAGAGCAACCGTAGCAAAAGCTGCCCCAACCAACAGCTCTCTCCTTCTCACAGCGCATCCTTCCACAACACCCGAACTGGTAGCAATCACCAAACCATAATAAATCGTTACATTTCTACAATAAATAAATTACACACGAGCCAAATTCAGAATTATTGCCGTGAGCATTTCTGATCAGCGCCATTGCTCTGCCTGCAGGAGATGATTGCGGAATTCACTTTCCTCCTTGAGACTTCAAACGACGACAACAACAACGCACAAAATACATGAAATTGTTGAACTAATAGAACAAATAACTAGGATTAACAGTCAGGAAAAAACAACAAAATAAAAGAAATGCAGAAGCAACCTCGATGCAAAGGTGAGTGGCGGCGTGAAAATGAAGAAAGCGAATGAAGGGAGTGGAAATGCAGAGAAGAAACAGCAGCCATTGCTTCTGAGCAGTGACCGATTTGCGCCAATCGGATTTCTTCTGATTTATGATTATTATTATTATTTTAATATAACTTCTCCTACTCTGTTTCGTTTGGCTAATGTTAAGTTTGTTTTTACTTTCTTTTTTTTTTTTATTTTTTTATTTTTTTATTTTTTTTTTATTTAAACAAAATTTTGAAAATGATTTTATAAAATAAAATAATACTCCCTTCACATGACCCTTTTTTTTTATCCGTCCTATTAAAGATGTCTCATTTCAATATTTTTTAGTAAATTTATTCATCTAAATATATTTAATAAATATAAATTAATTTAATTTAATTTCTAACATCTTACACTAATAAAATTAGTTTTAAGTTAATTATAAATAAATTAATTAAATTTTTTATTTATCTGTATTATATAAAATTTTATTCTCTACACAAAATGATATCTATATTGTATATATTTTATTAATATATAATGTTAAAAATATTTAAAATGTCAACATCACTACTAATATAAAAATAATAAAATAATATCATAATTGATTAGTAATAATTTACTAATCTATACTACACAAAATATTGTGTCTTTAAACAAAAGGATCATCTTGACCGGGACGGAGAAAGTATATTTTTATGATAATTAAATAATAAATAAATAGAATAAAACTTCAAAACAATATTCGAGAGTGTAGCCTAATTGCGAAGCTCTCAACAAAGATCTAATGTTTGATTCTCAGCCTGCCCATTTCCCTTCTCTGTTTTCCCCTTTTCAGTCATAGCTTCCGCTAAAGTACTATTTTTATTATTCTGACAATTTTATTTATTATTTATTTTTTTATATTATACTAAAAATTAATTTTAGTGTGCTTGATTGAAAATTTTTCCTAAGCTTTACTATTAATTTAATTTTTTTTCTTTAAAAATATCAATTAAATACATTTTTTTTATTTTTTTATATTATATTAAAAATTAATTTTAAATTCAAAATATCGTATAACCCTGCACCACCCCATCCCTTACCGGACAAAATTGTTAATTTGTATCTTTTTTAAATGGATAAATATATTTAGCTTTACTATTAATTTATTTTTTTTTCTTCAAAAATATCAATTAAATACATATTTTTTTATTTTTTTTATATTACATTAAAAATTAATTTTAAATTCAAAATATCATATAACCCTACACCACGTCATCCCTTACAGGACAAAATTGTTAATTTGTATCTTTTTTAAATGGATAAATATATTTATATATTCACATCTTTTTATGTCTGTGATTCGTGAACATAATGAGGATGGGTATAAAAATTTAAATATGACCATGAATAGGGATATTGACACTGTTATGTTCGGTATGGAATAATTATTCTAATTGCAACATAGTCGTGTTAGTTATCTGGTTTTTCAATTACATGTAACTAAAATTGATAAATTTTAATTTTAATTAAGCTAAAATTTATAAAAAATAAAATAAAATTAATTAGACTAAAATTGATAATTGTAATATATAATGAGATAAAAATGATTTCTGCTAAATTTTTTTAAATACTTTTAAACACATATTTTAGATTTTTTTCATATCATATATATTACTTTTATATATCAAATATTAATTAAATAATTAATTACAATTTAACTTCTAACTTAAAATACAATCACCGACCAAATTCACCCTTAATCTTTGATGTCATATACTCCATCTGTCCACAAAAATATTTATTTGTTTTTTGCACGTAGTTTTATAAATATTAGTATTATATTAGAATATAGTAATAAAGTAAAAATAACTAAAATAACATTATTAGTATGTGTGATATAAATGTAATGACATTTGTGTAATATATTGTAAGTTGCAAGGGTATTTGTAATGTTAGGTAGATAGTACAGTTACAGAAATGGATACTTTGTTATGGGACAAACTAAAATGAAAAAATGGATACTTTGTTATGGGACGGAGGGAGTATTTAATATCATCTTAATTTTTAAAATATTATATTTTTAACATTAAAAATATTTGTATTTATATATTTTATTATACAAATATCATTATATTTGTATTATAAAATACTAACAGAATTTTTTTTTTATTTGTATTAAAATGCAAACTCAAATTTCATATTAAAAGATTTTTTATTTTTTTCAAATAAAAAATTTTTAATTGAATCAAATTCAAGATTTAAAGTTATACGACACGTGGAGTTCGATAGTTTTTTCTTTTTCATTTTCGAGCTATATATTTATTTTTTAAGAAATAAAAATTTTAATATACACCATCTTTAATTTTCATATTATATAACAATTCGTTATATTTTAGTAAAAATGCATAAAATATTGTATTTATTATGTGAAATTCGATTACGTTAATGTTTTGATGTTTAATTTTAAATAAAGAATCAAATTATGCAAGCTTTATACAAATAAAAAAATATAAAATATCTTAATATTTGTTTGAATAAAATATATATATAAATAATTGATTAATTATTATTTTTATAGTATTTATGTACTTATTTTATTAAAAAAATTATTTAAAATATTTTATATTTGTATAAATTTTACATAATTTAAGTATTTATTTAAAATTAATTATCAGTTTTGAACGATAAAAATATTCTATGCAAATTTTATATTAATATAAAAATTTTATGTAAGAAATAAAACATAATATATGTATTATTTTTACTAAAAATACAAGAGACCGTTAAAAATAACAACAAAGACCGTTAAAAATAACAACAAATAAACACTTCCTTCCACGGTTCCACCTTCTCATTCTCTTTCCTTACTGGAGCTTGGAGTTTAAACAAGTCGGGTCTGCGGTATTTATTGAGTCCATTATTTTATCGGGTCGGGTCGGTGGATATTCGGTCGGATCGAGGCTTTACCACACCGACCATTACCACGTACTATTTTTTTATTTTTTTTAACTTATTTTTTTCATTTTTCATTTCCTGGAAAAGCTTTGCACGGGAAAACCCCTTTTTCTTTCCCTGCTCACAATCCCTAAAAAATTCCTCTCCCTTCGCGCTTTCATCTTCTTGCATCTCTGCTGCTGCACAAAAATTTCTCAATTTATCGGTAAGCAATTCCCGATTTTTCCACGATTTTCCGAGATTTGGCTGTTTTCTTGTGTGAATTTCGAGTATTTTACAAGTTATGGTAAATGCGAGAGAATTAGGAAAGGTTTTAACACTATCTTATTTTCTTGCTTTAATTTTGAGATTTTCGCGTTATTTCCCCACCGATCGCTGCAAAAATCGGTTGAATTTGTGAATTTTTTTACTGAAAGAAGAAGGATCTTCAATTATTTACTTCGAAATTTGCTACCACAGTATGCAGTAATACTCAGTTTCCCTCCAAATTACACCTTGAAAATTTTGAATAGTTTGCAGAGAGTTTGAATCTTGAGCTGTTAAAGTTTGCATTTGTCTCTGATTTTGAAATGGTACCGATAATTTCAATTTTGCAGATTGCGGAAGCTGTTACCGTTCCTGTCCGCACAAGGATCTGTAAATATTATCCCCCCGTGTTTACCAGTAGCATATCTGGATTTCTTCGGCGTCAATTTCGGAACCCCGGCAAAGATGTCGGGTGTGTCGGAGGCAACCGGCAGCCGTGAGCCGTTCGCGGTTGCTAGGCCGGTGTCCCAGGTGCCGCAGCTGCAAAATTCTGGGGTTTCTTCTCAGCTAGATCAGCAAATGGGAATGTCCTATCACGGCGGCGACGGTGGCTACATGCCTGTCGGATCTTCGCCGCCGTATCAGTCAATCACTGCCGGCTCCAACAGGGAAGCCGTGAATCTAAACTCCACTGAGCCTAGGCGGAAGAGGGGCCGGCCAAGGAAGTACGGGCCAGACGGGGGTATGGCAATGGCCATGGCTTCCCCCCAGCAGCAACCTGCAAACATGGGTTCCCAACAGTCCCTGAATTTCTCTCCTCCGTTGGAGCCGCAGGCGAAATCAGCAACGCCTGCAGGGAAGAAGCCCCGGGGCAGACCGCCTGGCTCGACTAACAAGAAGAAGCTAATTCAACCTTTGGGTAATGTTGTCTCTTTATTTATTTATATCTATATATATTATTATTGAGTCTTTGGATGGAGTAATTGGATCTTTGCTGTGAGCAGCTGTTTCTTGGTATTAACTATGTTATCTTAGTGGAGGGAACATGACATTCTTTTGCTGGTTTATGCCTGATTTAGAGTGGAATCGAAATATTTACTGTTTACCTTTTCTGGTTTATGTTCCGTTTTATGTCCTTCAATCTGGGGTTTGGGATTTAATTTTCTTGGATTTAGATGTTATGATTAAAAAAATTGTGATCTAAATGGTTGATTTGGGATTTTTTTGATTTCATATGTCCAAAAAATTCAAGAATTGTTGATCCGTTGGAGTAATCTTATTCAGGAATTTAATATTGGAATTTGCCGCCGTATCCCCCGATCGATATAGTCTTGAAGAAATATTTACTGTTAACTTTTCTGGTTTATGTTTAGTTTTATGTCCATCAATCTGTGGTTTGGGACTTATTTTCTTGGATTTAGATGATATGATTTATTGTGATCTAAATGGCGGATTTGGGGTTTTGTTGATTTCATCTCTAAACTTTCAAAGAATTGTTAATCTGTTGGAGTCATCCTATTCAGGAATCTAATGTTGAATTTACCGCTGTATTCTTGAATGGATAATAGTCTTGATGAAATATTTACTCTTAACTTTTCTGGTTTATGTTAGTTTTATGTCCTTCAATCCGTGGATTGGGATTTAAGTTTCTTGGATTTAGATATTATGCTTTATTGTGATCTAGATGGCTGCTATGGGATTTTGTTGATTTCATAGGAACTTTTCAAGAATTGTTGATCTGTTTCCCATTCAGGAATCTAATGTTGGAATTTACCGCCGTATTTGCAAATGGATATAGTCTTCAAGTTTCATCTTATTAGTTCCGTGTTGTCTTATACGGCTGCTTCCCATAACAATTGTATAATTTACTTTTTTGATTCCGATCTGTCCATTTTTTTAATTGTGTGTGGTTTCTTGTTTGCGCCTTTTCTCAGACAAATAAGCTTCCGTGTATCTTTTGATTTTTATAATCTAATCTATTTACACGAGTCTTTTCTTGAAATTATATATATATATATCAATATACACTATTTTGCTTGTAACCATGCTTGCCCAACGTTGTAGTTTTTCTCTGTTCCCATTTCACTTAACAATCAAGTCTTCTGCACTAAAATTGTAGTTCTGCAATTGTATTTTTTGTTGGCTTTTGTAATTATCCGGAGACGCTAATGCCTTTTATAAAATTATGCTAACAGGCACGAATGGACTGGCATTTACACCTCATGTTATCAGTGTGAATGCAGGAGAGGTTAGTGCTTTCACCTTTTTCCATCTGTTAATTAAATATAAACAGGAAAAAATAATTATGTATCCATTTCCGGCTGTTCTTTTAGGCAATGTTACTCATTTCTAATGGTGATTGGATACTATTATTGCCGGCTGTGTACTATAAATATTCAATTCATGGTTTCAGGATATTTCTTCAAAAATAATGGCATTTTCTCATGATGGTCCGAGGTCAATTTGTATCCTATCTGCAAACGGTGTCGTATCAAATGTGACTCTGCGCCAACCGGCAGCTTCGGGTGGAACTGCTACCTTCAAGGTTCCCATATTAGATATATGCCTTACTCAATTTTATGTTTTTGGATTTATCTTTATTTCAATACCAAAATAACTCATCGGGTGTGTTTCTTTTCAGTCTGTATTGAATTTGGAATATATATTTATATATATATATATATTTTTAGTAAAGATCAAATAGTAAAAGGTTGAATCTTAAAAAGAGCAAGCTATCATGTTTCAAACCTATTTTCTATTTTTGTGGTGGCCATATAATTTCTCGGCATTTCTCGAAATAAATGATGTGTGTCGAGTACTTTCTTCTTGTGATTACGATATCTGCGCTCGTGTTTTAAAATTTGACGTTTTGTAGGGCCGCTATGACCTCTTGAACCTGTCGGGATCGTATATGCTTTCCGATGTAGATGGGCAGAAAAGCAGGGTCGGTGGATTAAGCACAACATTAGCAGGACCCGACGGAAGGATCGTCGGCGGTTGTGTGGCTGGTATGCTAACTGCAGGTGGCCCCGTGCAGGTACCTTTTCTATGGGTGTGTTTGTTTTGGGGTTTGAATTTTGAGTTAAATTTGAATAGTAAAAAATTTAAATAGGAATAATACGATATTTTGAATGTAAAATTGTTTTTTTAGTATAATATATAAAATCAAAAATAGGTATTGGGGGTAAAAAATTTGATGAATAGTGAAATTTTGGGAAAATCCCATGACAATTTTTTTCGGCTGTTTATGTACGACATCGAATTTTACGGCAATTCCCATCTTTCTACGTACGGTAGGTTGTTGTCGGAAGCTTTGTGGACAACCGGAAAGAGCTGAAATCAAGAACCCAGACGGACCCTTCCTCCGCCGCCCGTCCCCTAACAATCGTCGGCGCCGGAAACGGCGGCGGAGGTGGCGGTGGCGGCGGCGGCGGCAGCAGCTCACCGTCACGTGGCACCTTCAGCGAATCCTCCGGAGGACCTTCGAGCCCGCTGAATCTAATCTCGGGTACGTTTCATAACCTCCATCCTCAAGTCATGCCGTGGAAATGATACGATCGGATCTGTGATCTTCGATGCGCTGTGTAATTCCCTGTTAATCGTTAGTTTCGACTCGTGAATGTAACTGAAAAGCGGCCGCCCGCTTCGCCGTCTACCTCTCTCTTGACTTCTTTCTACTATCGGAATAAGAATCGAACTGAACCGAATCGAATCGAGTCAGTGTTATTGTGGAAGGCTTTTGATGTTTGTTCCATAGTTAGGTTCCTGAGGAATGGAGATTTTATTAGTTTCCGGCATTGGTGTTTTTACCTGTTTCGTCTGATCTATTTCTTGCAGTGAATTTCAGAACTTTTTATTTGAGCTGGTAGCGTTTACTTTATTCATCTTGTTATGGTTCCCACAAATTGGATCATAATATTTAAATTAACAATTGGGGTTTGTTTAGAATTTTTTTTTTTTTTTTAAATAACGTGGAAATATGCAAATGTTAGTATTCGAGTGTTTTTTTGGGTAAATTTTGGGCTGAATATAATAATCTGTAAATAAATAAATAAGACCTATGAAGTTGGATAAAAGTAAATATTGCAATTTTATTGAAAATATATGCATAATAATGGTTTGGGTTTCAAATCCAAAGTAAATAAATACATTTGGGTGAACATAGAAAAATATCATTTCTATATTTTGGGAATGTTCAATAATAGAAATAGTGAAATATAATGGATTGTTGTTATTGTGTTAACTTTTGTGTGATAATGTTTTTAACAATGGGTTCATATTTAAATCAAAGTTCTAAATTTATATAGTAATATTGGTTAAATTTTTTAACAACATCCTAATAGTGTAAAATTTAATAATGAGATAGTAAATCTATTTATATGTTAAGAAAAAAGTAAATACGAACAAAAAATTAAATAAGAACTAGTCACTACTCGATCTAAAGCATATTAACTATATGCACATAAATATCAATATAGATGGTTGTTAATGGGCTAAATTTTAAAATTTAACATAATACTGAGAGCACATCTGCACTAATATATATTACATGATATTATTACAGATGGTATATTACAAATGTAGATATAAACTAACAACATATATATATATTCTTACATAGAACATAATACTATTGATTATAACACATAATATGCTCGTGTAAAATACATCTATAAATATAAATAAAAAAAGATATAATTTTATTTCAAATAATGTGTTGTCTATGAATTTTATATGTGTTACGGAAACTATTTCTGTCAATATCACTTTTAACTTTAAGTGGTGCTTCAAAAGTAAAATGAGCATGCAATGTTAGTTAGGCTTAAAGATTTTTAGCATATTATCACATACAAAATTTCAATAGGGCAATAGATTATTGAAGACAGGAACATATTATAAGTAAATTAATGAAGTGAAATAATTTTTTTGATAAATTAAATATGTAAGTAATTGTCACATTTTGTAAATGAGTCTATGTTAACGTATATAAATTAGAAAATATATAAAAATTGTTTAATACAAATTGTTCTGTAGATAAGCAAAAAATAAATATAAATATCAATTTGATTGATGAAATGAGTATCAGTAGTAAATAGTGATCCTACACAGCCTATATTTATAGTAAGGCCCAATAATGGACCAAAAACCTTAAAATTGGTCCAATTCATATTGGGCTTGGATCATATAAAGCCCATTTATCCAAAATAAAGAAGCCCGTTTATTACAATAATCTATAAAAATAAAAAATAAAACGTAATTTATTTTTATAATAATAATAATAATAAATATGAATATAAATTGTACCTTGCCAAAGAATTGCAGTAGTGTACAACGAGTTTGAATTTTTTTGATAAATAAACTCCAATTGCTTTTTCCCTTCCCAATTTTCGCGCAGTTTCGCCATTTCCTCTTTCAATCTGCTGCTTTGCAGGGAAGAAGAAGAAGAAGATACTGGAAGCAAATGGTAATCTTTTCGTCGTTCTGCTGAGGTGAATCTGCGGAGGAAGGGCTTTGTTTGCCCTCCACTTCGCCTCTTTTCAGCTTTTCGATCGGTAAATTATTATTCAGCGACTTTAATTTGATGTTTGTTTTGTGTTTTTGTGCAATTTCAACTCTCGAATTTCATTGCATTCGCAGTATTTCTGTTTGTTCACGGAGCCACTATGTGCCCTCCTTTTTTCCCATTGTCGTATGAACGTTTTTACTGTATTTAGGCTTCGAGTGTCGATTGCGGTCCGCTGGTTTCCGAAATTGTGTTTAATTGAGTGCAGAAAAAGTGTTTAATTTCTTGTTACAGTGGAATTGAGAAGTATGCCGTTCGATTTTGCTGCGTTTGGTTAACTTTTTGTATGCCTGAGGTTATTTGGAATGTTGTTTTTCTTCAATATGTCAAAGTGAGGTATGCAATTAGAGCTGTTGACATGCTAGATTCAAGTAAGCATTGCTCGAGCTCGTTTGTCGGCTAGCACGATCTAAATTTGCTTTTCGAGCTTGGCTTGTTAACTAATTGTTCAGTTCTAACTTCTAAAAGAAGCCTGTCTAAAACAATTGGGCTAAAATGGTTGGGTATGGATAGAAAGGTAATTAATGAAGCTTATGTGACGACAAGGAAAGCGGCTATCTTGTTAAATGACTATATTGGATGCTAGCGAATGAAGTTCGAGTTCGTTAGAGTTCGTTATATAACTTAACGAACCCAAGTTTTGACTTTTTTAACTTGGGTTTTTTTAGTTACTTTGAACTTTAATTAGTTGAGCTCTCGAACCACTAGTTCGATTTATTTTTTTTAGATTCGAATAAGTGGGGCCTATAGATTTGACCTTGAGTTTGGATTACGATTAGGGATTGACTTGCAACCTCATTTAGTTGCAGTTTCGGTCTTGATCTTTAACGATGTTTGATCACTAGAAGTAGACGACAATCAAAATAACTATTAATACCTAAGTTTGATGGTTCTGCGGAAGCTTGGGCTTGTTGTTTCGGTGATTAAATGTGCCTTATGAAAAGCCTGCTTCTTGTAATTGGATAGAAAGTAAGAACACTATTCATTTTCGGAACTGATGTGTGGTCCATTTTTTGGACATTGTAATTGTAAATGACGGCAACATGGTACAAGGCACAGCCTCTGCCAGTCTGCCCTATTTTCTAAGGTGAAGCGTGCTCCTAAGGTGCCATTGCCATGGTGCAAGGCTCAAGACGCGAGTTTTTATTGTTTGTTTTATTATGTGTGTTAGGATATGGAAAGTTTTGTCTTTCTTTCTTTCTTTCTGGAGTTTCTCCTGCTCATAGCCTCCGCTAACCTACCATCCTATTTTATATATTTTCTTGCCTCTCATCGCTTCCGTTTCCTTGGGCGCTCCCCTCCCCCATGTTGTGACCATTATTTTTTTCATACGTATGTATACATTTTGATGATCAGGATTGTTATGTTTTGAAATATGCTTATTTGCTTTAACTTACGACTACTGTGCTTTTGCATGTGCTTGTTTCTTTTTATTTATTTATCTTTGACATTAAGATTTTTGAATGATTATTTTTGTTTGTTGAATGGTGTTATGTTTATTGAATATATATATATTTCTTGCGCTATTACAACGGCCGGACAGTAGAGTTGATTTATAGGAGTTTGGAATAATTAGAAAATTACAAAAGTGAAACCTTTCAGTTTGAACAGCAGAGGGCGATAAACCAAGTTCGACAACAGGTTTTTCAACAAGCCTTACAAGGAGCTTTAGGAACTCTGAATAGTTGTATGAAGTATGAACAATGAGTTACATTTATGTACCATTACTGCCAATACTGGCATGTTGGGAGCGATGAAAGAATTAAGAAAAACTCACAGTAACTATTCGAGCTGACAAAATTAGTAATATTCAACAAGAATTATACCAGAATAACTTTTGTCAGGAATGTTTCTTTTATGTTGAATAATAAGTGCTCGATTGGCTATGTTGTTGCAATGCAGGTCAGTGTTCTAAAAACCAAGTAACCAACACCATCATGGAAGGCCCAGTAACCAACACCATCATGGACGGCCCGGATCCAGAGGAACTAAACGAAACTCCTTGTAAAAGAAGTAAGACCCAAATGGATGCTGCAAACGAGATCGAGACTCCAACGAAATACAAAGATCCAGCCGAGGAGAACAACCATTGTGACTCCTTGCAATTGTCTGTGTATCCAAGGACATCCTCTGATGATCTCCCACCGTCATTCGCATTACCTCTCGTCCCCATTCCAAAGGTGGAAGAATGGTGCTTGAACAGCAACATTGTCTTGACTGGAACAGCTTGCCGAGTGGGGACTGGACCGCCTGTTGGAGCTGTCGATATCGGTGAGAGCAAGTCTGCATATTACTTTTGCATTTCTCTACCGGGAGTCAAAAAAGATCCGGGTAATCTCTCTTCTTGATGCTGACCTTGTTTGTCGACTTCCTGTATATATATATATAAGATTTGTCTCGGCACTTTTCATATCGTCGTCTTTATCAGGTGAGTTCAGCTGCGAAATTCAAAAGGATGGAAAAGTCTGCATTCATGGTGTGACTTCTACGGGCGCTAAAACCATCACCAAGTATTCTCGAGTCTTTGAAATGAAACAACAGCAGCAATGCCCGCCCGGGCCTTTCACCCTTTACTTCAGCCTGCCGGGACCGGTCGATCCGAGGCTATTTTCCCCTTGTTTCAGATCTGATGGCATCTTCGAAGGCGTTGTTGCAAAATTCGAGTAGGCTTCTTTCTGTTAAACTTAAAATAATTCCTTACAAAATGCTGAAATTATTCGTACTGTGTTAGGACTCTATTTGTGAGTGTACATGCTATGCTTATTGCCTGCTCGTCTTTTGTTGGTATGTTGTTTCAATATCTGTAGCTTTGAGACGGATGGTTTCTTAGAACAAATTAATGCTTAGGATGCAATTTCTGGAACGAATTCCGTTATCCTTATTTTATTACATGTCGAGGCTTCTAGTGGACAACGTTGGATAGAAGTTTACGTAGTAATTGTTGTAGGGATCGATGCTAATCTGTTAATCCGAAACATCCCTGCTGGCTTCCCGGCATATCTCTTCCCACGAGTTCTTTACAATGATGTAATACAATCTCTTAGGGATGCCCTGCTCCGATGATAGATACAGATTTGAAGTCTTGATAAAAAATGTGTCTTCGGTGACGAAAGGGATGTAGGTAGGTGTGTGTGTAGACTCTGCTCATCGTCTGCAGGTCCGTCATTGGAGCCGGCGATGGTGGCCAGTTTTTTCGTTGACGACTCTTCCCAGAGTGATGATATACTGTAAGGATGTTAGTAATTGTACTAATGAGTGTGATTTTGGTTCGAGATTGTTCTGAATCGTTGCTCGGTTTTCTTCTCAGGTTTCTTCCCCTTGCTCTGCTGCTGTCAATCGGGTCATGTAGTCGAAATTCCTGCATTTCCATACCAGGTATTTCAACTAATTGTTTATCAGGAATCATATGGATCGATTGATTTTTAGATTTGTGTTATGTCAGATGATCGAAATTAGCTGATTTTATGGTAGTCTTAAAGCTTTTTTCTTCACCCTGAGTGACGGCTCCCCTTCTTTCTTGGAGCCATTGACTTAGGAAATGCTTCGAAATTTCTTTATCCGGACACCCTCGAGCTCTATACACATTCTCCCGAACTCCTCAGTGCTTAGGATCCTCAAATTCTTTCAATCCTAGCCGACGGTTTTTGTCGCTAAAAGATCTATAATCGATAAAACTACTCCTCGACTTCGTTCTATACTTGTCGATCCACATTTCGGATTTCGTTTACGTGGTTATCAATGGATTCTAGGTTGTCCGGCTAGTGTCTCGCCTCGCCATCGATAAATTGTAAGACGATGCCATAGTGACATAGATAATGTAGAACAATTATAGTATAGCAAGCCATCGGACCAAGGGATGACAATAGAATCGGATAGATGATGATTTGCCATCGTCACAATGATAATGTAGAACAATTGTAGGAAGCGCCATCTTATTTAGGGATGACAATAGAATTAGATAGATCGAATAGTTGATCTATTTTGTTGGAATCCAACATCACACCATTTGTTTGCATCTACTTGGAAAATATTTGCTACTGCAGATTTTATGCTGATGGAGTTAAATTAATATATATATATATATAATAAAACATTTTATACATATGTTTTCTTATAATAAAATATTGTTGTGTTATATACATATTTTTATTATATATATATATATTGATTTGATCAAATTAACACGGTCATAAATTTTTCGGATCTGTTGTCTTGTACTCCCCCGTCTAGGTATTTAATAAAATGTTTACTTTATAATTAGACGTTCCAAAATAGAAATATGTATATTTTTTAGATGGACGGAGGGAGTATTATTTAATTACTCTCTCCGTCTCATCCCATGTAATTTGTGTATATTTTCTATTTTAGTTTGTCCATTTAATCTCATTTTAAATTCTAAATTTTATAATTTTTTGTAATTTTAATTAAACTATTTAGTTATCTTAATCAATAATTACTTTTACTATACAATAATTATTTTTACTAATACATTTATTAATTATACTTCGCTTAAATTCTCGTATCTACATAAATTATATAGGATGGAGGGAGTAGTATATTTCAAACCATACATATAATACATACGCAGAAAACATTGTGTATAAATTAACAATATAAAGTATATATCTATATAATATAAATACAAGCACAATCTGAAAGTACATAAAAACAGTCTACAATGTGTTATAATTAATTTTAGTACAAATATATTTATTTTTATTAACATAGGGTACATATAAAATAAAATTGATTATACGTATTAATATTTTATACAATATACTATTTATTTTATTTGCAGATTATTATATTTTATAAAATATCACAGTAAAATGGAGTATTTAGTTTTTTTACTAAAATTTTTTTATATTCCAAATCTATTCGAAATTATATGTAAATGGATCCAAATCTATTGGATTCAAGTGATATAAAATTAATTGTCACGCTCAGCCCACTCTTTCTTTATTTTATTTTATTGTATAGCTATATTTAATAATTTAAAAACATAAAAAAATATATATATATATAATTTAGTTAAAAAATACTATATATTATTGTTATTTTGTTTTATATGTTAAATTTTGCTTTAATTTAGAGTGTGAGTCTATACCAAAACAATAGTCGATCTTGACCCAGTTTGGAATATGGATCTGGGTCACCTTAATGGACCGGATCTTGATTCGGGTTTTATTAATATGGTAAAATGAAATCACCTGAAAAGACGAAAGTGGACATCATTAATGTAGTGGTACGAAAAGCACTGTGGCGTTCAGTGGAATCAGAGCTCCGTCGTTGAAAATTGAAATTAAAACTACTGAATTTTACAAAATTATTTTTATTTTTAAAATTTTATTACTCCTCCGTCCTAAAAATATAGTTTAGGTTATGCTTAAAAAGAATTTAAAGAATATTGATACTCATTTCATTTCAATACAATAGTCTTGTTTACTTTTTTTTTTTTCGTTCCAAAATAATAGTCTTATTTCCATAAATAACCATGTCACCATAAAACTACCCATATTTTTTATTTTTACTACAAAATTGTCACTGCTTTTTACACTAATACAATCACAAGGGCAAAAAAGTTTTTTATCCACTACCAATATAATATTAATATTTCTTAAATCTCGTGTCCAACCCAATTAAAACTATATTTATGGGACGGATGGAGTATTATACTGTTAGTGGATAAAAAGTATGGATAAAAGACTTTTTTGTCCTTGCGAATATATCAATGTAAAAAATAGTAGCAAATGTATAATAATAATGAAAAAGTAAAAGTTGTTTTACAGTGATATAGTTATTTATGGAAATGAAATTATTGATTTGAGACGAACAAACATAATAAACAAAACTATTTTATTGAGACAGAGGAATATTAAATAATTTTTATATTTAATAATAATTTTTCTTAATACAATTAAAATACAAACAGAAACACAGGTAAGTATATTCCATGATCTCATCAAAAATTTGAAGTTAAAACGGATTTCAACAGAAGTAATATTTTCTCACTCGTCGAAAATTGTGTTCATATTAATTTTAATAAAAATGGGAAAAATAGTTCTTTTTTATTTTTTAAAAATAATAAATATGTTTTTATAACAATCCAAAAAATAAAAATAAAAAATCATAAATTTGAATGAGAGATGATGCCTATTATGATGAATGATCTCATATAATGTTCTTGTATTGCATCAAAAAACTATTTCAGTTTACACATAAAGTATAAATATTTATACTTTTGGTTGTTTAAATAAAAAGTAATTATTTTAAAAAAAAATTTTCATAAATGTTTCTATTTTACTATTATATTATTATTTTTATATAAAAAATAAAAGTAAAATTATATTAATACCAATTTTAACTATCTTATATAATTAAAAATATTATTATTTTTTAAACTCTATGCTAAACGTAAATATATATTTTTTACTTAGAAAATATATTTCTTTCGCATTACAGTAATTTGGTGTTAAATTAAAATTTAGACTAAGATAAAAGTATATGTTAAATATATGCTATCTTTTTAAGAGTAATATTTTAGATTGTGTTCTTTTATGAATTTTACATAATTTTTTTTTATTTAATTTTTTTTTTCAAAAATATCAAATCAGATAATTAGTTTTTTTTTTTATTATACTATAAATTTATTTTATATTTAAAACATTACATTTTCATCTATTTATATCATATCAAATAACTATTTAAATTCAATTTTTTACTATTTAAAAATCCAAACCCACGAACAAACACACCCTTAAATTTGAAGACTCTTAGGGATCGCTGGGTTGGCATTTTTGGCGTGGGTACCAAATCCAACGCAAAAAGTTGGCGTTGCTATATATATATATATATATTTAATTTTTCAAATTATAAACTTGTTTTTAAAATTTAATTTTTATTGTTTAAAAATTTAAAAATTTTATTTTAAATTATAAAAGTAAAAAGTTGTTCAAAATAATAGGAAAAATTGAATATTTAAAGAATAATAGTGAAAAATGAAGTTATAGTTTAAGTAAAATTACTGTAGCGACTGCATATTTGGAGTTAAAACTGAATAAATAGAATTGAGTGGTTGGAGATGGTCTTAGGGTGCGTTTGTTTGTGAATTTGATATTTTGGGTTTGAATTTTTTAATAGTAAAAAATTAATTTGAATAATTATTTGATGTTATATAAATAGGTATTGATGTAATGTTTTGAATTTAAAATAAATTTATATTATAATATATATATATAATAATAATTATTTTATTTGATATTTAATAAAAAATAAAAAATTGAATAGTAAAAACGTAAAACCTACCGTAAAACACACCCTACAAATATTTGCATACAATTTTTTCATGAGAAATAAGAGTAATGGTTAAAAAAATGAAAATGAAGGTAATGAATGATGAGAGAGAATAGAAAGAGTAGGTATACAGGGTAGGGTTACAGGATAGGGTAGGGTTAGTGGGTAGGGCTGTACAAAACTACAGCTACATAGTAAATACGTACGTGTGCATGTCTCTGTTTAATATACTGTCTCGATATGACATATTTGGTTTGTTATACAATATTTAAAATAATTAATTTAATTAATTAATTAATAATAATAATAATAATAATAGCATTTTGTGAGTAATTAAAAGTAGTGTAATGACATTTTTGTCTTTATTTTTTTGTGTAAAAGTAATGATATGATATAAAGTAAGGGTATTTGTGGAAAAAAGTAGGGTATTTAATGAAATGTTAACTTTATAATTGGACGTCCAAAATAGAAATATGTAAACATTGTAAGTGGACATAGGGAGTATTATTTTATTATTTTTTATAAATAATACTTCCTCCGTCTCAAACACTGTGCAACATTTCCTTTCTGGTAT